CCCCCTATTGGGAGAGTGCTTATGGGCCAGGTGCTCCCCCCAATAGGGGGGCGCCACATGTACATTAAGGACACCATAATGTACATGTAGCATAACCCGTCACTTCATTGTTATAGTTAGGTCTTCCAACTATAACCAAACTCACTTATAAGCCTTAAAAAATCAATCAACAACAGATAAAAAAGATAAACCCAATGATTTAATTGCAATCAAATGGAACAATTACCATTAAACAACCACTGTAGAGAAGAAGAGAGAGAACTAAGAAAGAGTCACGGGAATATTCATCCAAAATCACCATCTACAACCACATTTAGAATGTGTTAGATGCACATTAAAATGAAAAAAAATGTATTTTTTTATGATGTGATGGTGAATATGTTGTTGAAAAGGAAAGAAAAGTTATTGATCTGATGTAAAATATTATTTTATTGAAAAATATATGATTGAAAATGAATAGAAGAATGAGAACGTGGCTCAAACAACGCTTAACAAAAAAAAAGAGGAAAAACGTGTAAAGGAAGAAAATGGAAAAGCGTGTTTGCAACTTTTACACTTTCATCCAAAACAAAACAACGCCGCATCCATTTCAAAATTCAAATAGTGCCGTTAAACTTCATCTTCCAGCTTTCTCACTCTATGATCCCTCTTCTTCTTCCGACCACAACCCCAATTCCAATTGGTTCCTCGTTCTCTCTGTTCCCCTTCATAACATTCATATAGAATTGGTGCTCGCAAAGTATCCCTTTTCCGCCAAGCTAGAATTATTCAGGTCGATGCATAAATTGGAATGGAAACTCAAGATCTGCAATGTTTTCAACAAAAAACCCCATTTCCTATCTTTGTCTTCAATTGTTGGTTCAACCAATTTTTGAGGTTGTCTTTCCCTCTTTGAGTGTGTGTTTTAGAGGTGAAGAAATTAGAGAAGGTTGTGTAGAATGAATACTCTAGAATATTGAAAATTGTTTGGGCAAAAACCTTGATTGAATTAACTTTTCCATCGAAGACTATATCAGGGAGGCTTTCATAAATGGTCGGTCAACTTAGAGGTTTTTAGGTCTTTTGTTAAAAAAATCAATTATACCCTTAAAGAAATGGGTTTTGATTGCAAAACATATCCTCAAACTTTAGAATAGTTTTAAGGGAAAATTGTGGCCGCCTTTCATTTTGTTGCAGATTACTCCCAAATCTTTTATTTTTGTGGCCGAAGTCCCAAACTTTTATATATAGTTGCAGCGTCAGTCCCAAACCTTTAATTCCATCCATAAAACCGTCAGTCAACGTTTCAACAGTAATTTTGACTCGAAAAAATTGCAACGCTAGCCCCAAACCTTTCATTTTGTTGCAAATTACACCCAAATCTTTAATTTTTGCGGTCGAAGTCCCAACCTTTATATATAATTACAGTGTTGATCCATTTCACGCATTCCGTCCATAAAATCGTCAGTCAACGTTCAAACAGTAATTTTAACTCAAATGACATCTTAATTGATAGATAAAATTGTCAAAACAAGTTATCCAAAAAAAAATGTTAGTTTTCTTCAAATCATTCAATCTTTTCACAGACATCATATTCTCATCATCGATAACTATCTGATCAGATAACAACTCGATCCGATTTGTTATAATAATCGAATCGATAAATTATTTTTATAGCATGTTGTTTGTCACTAAAATAAATAAATTACATTTGATACTATAATTTGTATGTATTATTAAATAATTTTTAGATTGATTAAAAATTTAAAATAATATTAAAATAAAAAATACATTTTTATTAAAAATTAAAAATAATATTAAAAATTTTTATTTAGTACTAAACTTTTTTATTTTCTCATATATTTATTTTAGTGACAAATAACATGCTATAAAAAATGAAAAAATTACAACGCTAATCCCAAACCGGCATGTTTAGACAAATTCTAGGCATATATATTATTAAAAAAATATTTTCTTATTTTCATATTATTTTTAATTTTTAAACAATTTAAAAATTATTTAATAATACATACAAATTATAGTACCAAATGCAATTTGTTTATTTTATTTTCTCATTTATTTATTTTAGTGACAAATAACATGCCATAAAAATAATTTATTGATTCAATTATTATAACAAATCAGATCAGATTGTTATCTGATCAGATGATTATCGATGATGAGAATGTGATGGCTGTGAAAAGATTGAAAGATTTGAAGAAAACAAACATTTTTTTAGATAACTTGTTTTGACAATTTTACCAATCAATTAAGATGTCATTTGAGTTAAAATTACTATTTTAGCGTTGACTGATGATTTTATGGACGAAATGCGTGAAATGGACCAACGCTGTAATTATATATAAATGTTTGGGACTTAGGCTGCAAAAATTAAAGGTTTGGGTGTAATCTGCAACAAAATGAAAGATTTGGGACCAGCGCTGCATTTTTTTGAGTCAAAATTACTGTTGAAACGTTGACTGATTGTTTTATGGACGAAATTAAAAACTTGGGACCGACGCTGCAACTACATATAAAGATTTGGGACTTCGACCGCAAAAATAAAAGGTTTGGGTGTAATCTGCAACAAAATGAAAGGTTTGTGACCACGACCGCAATTTTCCCAATTGTTCAATCTTTTTTATATCTATTTCTGGGAAGAGTCGATCTAAAAATTCAAATGTTGCCAATTTTCGAATGATATTGGGATCTGCTCCTTGAACTGCACCGATCCTTGGATAAATCGCCATTGGAAGGGCTGTCAAGTATAGAGAATTTCCTTCTCTGAAATTATATACTCATTCTGAAAATTCATAATACTCCTTCTCCATAGGATGTAGATTAGTTCGATGTGATGAGTATTAATTATTCCCTTTGGTGATTTGAGGTCACCAATCAGTGCTTTTTTATTTTATTGAAATTCACTTATAACAGTAGGCTGTTCAAATGGACATTTTGATAAGAATGTTTGAGTACTGGACTCAGTGACTCCTTTTCCACTTTTAAATTTTTCTAACAATTTGTCAATACTGACGGGTAATTGTTGTGGACCCTTTGTTATGACATTTTCTTCTTGCGAGGTAAGAGGGTCATTTCTCTTAAATTTCGAATCTCCACTTCAGGTGGATGTATTAATCTCCCGAAATGGGATATGACTAGCCTTTTGGCAATATTTCACATTTTTTTAAAGGAGGGTACTCCTGGCTGCAACTTACAAAAAACAAACATTCCGTCAATTTTTCAGCTATTTTTTCTTTATTATCATTTAATTTATCAATTTTTTTCTACTTTCAACAACTTTGTTTGATAGATCGCACAAAGTTTGTCGAATATCAAGATGATCTTCTTGAATAACAAGACAATCTGCGTTAAAACCTGTTAGAAGATCTTGCAATTCCTTTGTAAATGCTTCAATCTTTTCCAAAATCATGATTCATGCTCAAGAAATCAGCAAATAAATTATATTTTCCTTTAATATATTCAAATTTAAAATTATAGAAAGATAATAATACTTGCCATCTGTGCAATCTCCTGTGTTGAGGTGAATTAGGTAATCTATTATTTACTATTCTGTTAAGTTGAGTATTATCATTTTAAACTATAAATTTCTTAGGTAATAAGAACATTTTGAATTTATTTATTCCTTTAATTACTGCTAGTA